CCTCGGGGACTGATAGTCCACCAGCAGAGGTATCGACCCAGTGATGTAAAAAATTGAAAACAACACGTTTAATAATTTCATGCGTCTGAAGCGATTTTCTGGATTTACTTTCCTCGGGAACGCTCAAAGCCAAACATTTGAAATCCGAGGGATGTATAAGTACCAAAACAGTTGAAGGGCTATATGACAAAAATACCTAAAACAAATAGCCAAATCCATCTAAGGTCAACTTTGCCTGAGGGAGTTGAAACCTTAGTTACTTTATAATTTCAAATTTGCCTGAAGACTTTGTTTTGTATAACAGGGTCCAGTGTTGACATAGCGGCATTTCACAGCAGCAATGACAATTTAAGTTTTATACAAGATAGTTTCAAGGGAGATTTAACCACAAGGTTCCAGTGGGTTTCGATGAACAGTGGCAAGATAACTGCAACTTATATTTTTCAAGTCTTAAAATAATACACTCGGTGAGTTTCCAAATTGCTCGTTCCGACATTTTGTATTCTGAATACACCTTTATCAACTCATTGCTGAAATAAATAATTATGTAATGTTCATTTTCAAAATGCATCACTAATGAATGCGTCCATAAACTTGCACCATAAAAACTCTAAGATGACAGCAACAAGCCACCCAGATGTTTGATTCATCTTAATCCATGCGATGATTGAAATACTGTTTACATGAATTTACCTATAAATGTCGAAATAGAGCATATGCCCATGTTTATGCAGCAAGGTGTGTAATAAGTCGAAAATACATTAGTTATGGGTAATTAAATTTCTTCTTTATGCTCTAATTTGAATTTTCAAATATAGATGTTTCATCATATATTTTTTTTATTTTCTGTTACTTTTCAAATCAGACTTCTCACTTTAACTTTTTTTTTAGAAGTAATGAAAAAAACACTTAATGTTCTGCGTCTAAGTCGCCTTTTTGGACAACCAAATATTAGAAAACCAAGAATGTAGATGAACAGCTATATGACTAATAAACAGCTGCGCCACGAGCGCATGATACGCCCGTCGTCTTGTGTGTGAAGTTTTATGCAATTATCATAAATCGTTTCTGAGATACGGCGCGACATGTGAAAACCCCCCTTTTTTATAAAAAAATCATTAACTCTAAAATAACATTTTGAATCATCACCAAAAAGTATACAGATCTTTAGATTAATATAATTAAGAAGTGTGTAAAGTTTTAGGCAATAATCATAAATCGTTTATGAGATACGGCGCGACATGTGAAACCCTCCCCCCCCCCTTTTTTTTTTTACAAAAAACTCAATAACTCTAAAATAAAATTTTGAATCATCACCAACAAGTAAACAGATCTTTAGATTAATATAACTAAGAAGTGTGGAAAGTTTTAAGCAATAATCATAAATATATTTTTTTAATTTTTGAGATACGGCGCGACATGTGAAAAAAACACCCCCTGTTTTAGTTACAAAGTCCCGTAACTCAAAAAGTTTTTATTTTTTTTTCACCAAAAAGTATGTTATGGTGCGACATGTGGACGCCGGACAGACGGACAGACGGACAGACGGACGGACAGACAGACGGACGCCGGACATTTGTATACCATAATACGTTTCGTCAAAATTTTGACGGGCGTATAAAAAAGAACACAAAAATCAACTTGCATAAGGAAGTTTGAACCTTAGTTTCTTAATATTTTCTTAATTTCTAAATATAACTTCTAAACAGACAGTTTAGGAAAGGTGTGGTATAACTCATGTCAGTACCGAAACACAAACATCTGAGCTGATGATACGTATACACTCGTGGGACTGATAGTCCATCAGGAACGACTGATGATACGTATACACTCGTGGGACTAATAGACTATCAGGGACCACTGATGATGCGTATACACTCGTGGGACTAATAGTCCATCAGGAACGACTGATGATACGTATACACTCGTGGGACTAATAGTCCATCAGGAACGACTGATGATACGTATACACTCGTGGGACTAATAGTCCATCAGGAACGACTGATGATACATATACACACGTTGGACTAACAGTCCATCAGGAACGACTGATGATACGTACACACTCGTGGGACTTATAGTCCATCAGGAACGACTGATGATACGTATACACTCGTGGGACTAATAGTCCATCAGGAACGACTGATGATACGTATACACTCGTGGGACTAATAGTCTATCAGGAACGACTGATGATACGTAAACACTCGTGGGACTAATAGTCCATCAGGAACGACTGATGATACGTATACACACGTGGGACTAACAGTCCATCAGGAACGACTGATGATACGTATACACTCGTGGGACTAATAGTCCATCAGGAACGGTATTGACCAAGTCCTATAAGTAAATAAAGATAACTCTACATTTTTGCGCCTGAAGTGCCTTTTTGGTTCAACATTCACCAGGAACGCCCAAAACCCACATATTTGAAAGCCAATGATGTATAAGAACTGAAACACGTGAAAAGCTTATTGACCAAAAGGGATATAAGAATAAAAGCCGAATCCATCTATGGTGAAATTGCCTGACGGATTTTTACCTTTAGTTTCTCAATCATATTTTTGAATTGATCAACGGAGACTTAATAATATATATCATGTCGGTGCCACACTTCGGATTATTGAGCTGTTAGATGATATCCTCGGGGAAAGCAGCGATTTCGACCTAGTTCTAGAAAATCAAAATAACACTTCATGAATTTAGTACGTCCGATGCGCTTTACTGTGATATATTCACCAGGAATAGTCAAACCAAAACCTGACACTTCAAGGCCGTATACATATTCGAACACTTGATGAGCTCTAGGAACATAATCGACCTAAAAAGAAGAGCCAATGCTCTTAATGTCAATTGTACCTGGTGTATTTGGAACTTTTGTGTCTTAATAATTACGACTGATGAATTCAAAATCCGATTTAACAAAAGCCAATGCAATCATCGGTATTGATTTGGTACTGACATGTACCATCTACTGGTACTTTTACTCACATTACGCGGAAAAGTAGTGTACACGGTAGAACTATCTTAACTGTTTACAAAGTTAACTACATGATCAACATAATTTCTAAACTACAAAAAAAAAACAATTAGACACCTGTGTTTTGAAAGATTGTATAAGGTGCTCTGTTTAAGGTGGATGGGGGTCTTAATTAAAATCCATACAGTTTTTTAATAATTTGTCAAAATGTAGTTTTTATCATGCTTTTTTCCAAAAATAATAAAAAGTATGGGTCACCGAACTTTATTCACGCTACAGGTTGTGCAAAATTGTCAGATTTTGTATAGATTATGCATGGAAAATCCAATTTTGTGTGATAAAAAGAAAACTACACCATAGAATTTTAAGATGAAATGTGAGATATCTCTTATAACATGCTTTCAGATAAGAAAAAGAAAAAATAGGTTCACCGGACTTCTTTTCTTGCTACATATTAAAATAGGTAAATTCACAACACTTTCTATTATAAAAATTACTTTATCTGAGTATTTTCTACATCCAACATTCATGTATTTATTTTTGATGTTTTTGTTATGGTTTCGGTTGGATAATGTGTTATGTCTTATCGTTTGTAGTCCAAATAATTATAAAGTTGCCTTTCAATACCATCACTGTCATGAAAATTGTTTGGACCTGTATTTTGAAAATAATTGTATAAAGTTCGAGATTGCATGTTAGTTACGTAAGCGCGTCACTGTTTTCGGTATCCTGTGGTGTCTGTCGTTGATGGAATATGTTCGTTGTTGTTCTGCGGTTTGCATGTTGTGTCGACTATAACATTATTTGTTTGTGCGTTTCTCTGTGATGAATATTATTACGTGTGTTTGTGCTGTATTTCTGTCACGTAGTGTTGTCATTTTAGCGATATTTTTTAACATTGTCATAAAACGGGAGGTTTGGCTAGCCATTAAATCAGGTTCAACCAACCATTTTTTCTTAAAATGTCCTGAACCAAGTCAGGAATATGGCAGTTGTTATCAAATAGTTCGTTTCTATGTATGTTGGCGTTTGTTTTTGTTGCACTTCAGTGTTCCTGTTGTTCCTTTGTATTCCTCTTATAGTTGATGTGTTTCCATCGGTTTTAGTTTGTAACCCGGATTTGGTTTCTCTCAATCGATTTATGACTTTTGAACACCGGTATACTACTGTTGCCTTTTATCTTCCCTACTATCTGAGTTATCTCCCCTTGTGTGGCAAAGTTGAAAAAATGAATCAAACAAAAATATTGTGTTTTTTAGAAAATATAGCCGTAAATATGATAAAACACATAATTTTCTGTATAAACATGAAAAGTCTTACACATGAATTACATACTACTCTCAAAATTTGCATATTTCGTTAAAGATCTAGACCAATTGTTATCTGCTACTTCAAAATCCAAGATGGAGGAAGACACCCCAGCCACCTTAATATACAAACCAGTACACATTAGGAACACTGGGATTTCGACTTGACTCTTGCGAAAATGTTCAGTTTCCAACATTTAAGTGCTATTCTAGATTTTATACTTTGATTCCTTAGGTGAACCAATTTTGCTGTCGGGTTTTGCGATTATTAATTATTCAGAATATTGAATTTGAATCATTTTTTTTAAATTTGAAGACCTCAGCATTGAGGCTCAAGTCTTAATTATTGAAATAACCTCTTCTACCATCCTACCTATTGTTTAACCTTCGAAGATCTAAATTAGAAAATCACTAAAACAAAATCTGATGTCCAATCTTCTAAGATTGAAGGTTAATCTAGAGAATTCCAAGGGTAATTGTGACTTTGAATAATAAATAAACTGAAATAATCAGCATCAATTCATAGAATTTAATTAGGCGATAATTTACTTATCATGAAATCATCTCCATTGGGCTGTCTATTGAATTATTGAAGTTCCGATGGTGATATTGTTTTTGCGTTAAGTCCTCAAACTTGTAAAACATACATAAATATTTCCTTTGCTTTAGTTCTGAAAGGATAATCCGTGTATTATTTGCCGTTAATGTTAGCAACCATTTAGATCAATATTCACCTTTTTGAAATCGATAGCGGTGAATTAAGCAATCGTCTGCCAGTATAGCAAATAGAAGAAGTACCTGACTGCTGATGGTCGTCAGAAACAGACATACCGGAAGTTATGACACATGGAATAGCTTATAAGCGGGATTATGACTAAAAGAAAAAATGAAGAAGTTTCGATACATTCTACTTTTTTTTGTTTTTATTTTAGAATTATGCTTTGATTTAGGTAAGTTTTAAACATTTATTTATCTTTCAAAAAACCTTACTGTTTCATTTACATACCTGAAATGTGATGGACGGTTACAATTTTAAGGAATCGGTTTTTTTTTAAATACATCCACAGTTTATTTGTAGTTTAATATATGAGAAAGAGAGAGAGAGATTTGAAGAACAATACCAAACTGTATTTTAGTCAGTTAAGTTTTATCCTTTGCTAGAATTAATATAAAATTGTGCAATAAACGCAAATCAAACAAATTTTGATAAAAAGATAAATCTTCGTTTTTCGCTTCAGCTATTAATCCCAAATTTCTCAAAAACTTCATTCATAGATGAATTGTTTAAACTCGTACAAATTATATTACTAATCAATTTTGGTAAATGTGTTTCTCTGTTAGGAATATGACAGTTGTTTTCCATTCATTTGATGTGTTTGAGCTTTTGATTTTGCCATTTGATAAGGGACTTTCCGTTTTGAATTTTCCTTGGAGTTCTGTATGTTTGTTATTCTACTATTTGGATGAACTCATGAGCACATTATGATTTATACATTATAATATATAGCTCTTGGTTTCTTATACTATTTAATTTGTTTTAAATAACGAGAACAACAAACCAGACAGATATTATTTAAACATGTTCAATCGAATATTACCATGATACCAGTTGTAACTTTTATGCTTTTTGAACACGGTAGTCATGATAACCTTTATTCTCACAGGAGTCCTCATCTTTTGATAGCATTATTATTATTGATACACATTTTGTTGGTTCTATATCATTTGTTCTCATCTTGTTTGTTAAAAAAGGAATAATAATAAACTAAATATAGTAATTTGAATTTTTATTCATCTAATATTATAAGTCAGAAGTAAGGATATATTTCTTTTTCGTTGCTTCATTTAAAAGAAAGGAAGGTTTGTGATACCTAGAGTACATGAACTAAAAGTTTATATTCATTATATGTCTCACTTACAGGGAAAACACAGAGAACAGGTGAATCTTAATAAAATTTAATTCGAGTATCAAAAAGTTTATATTCATAACAAAGATATTTCATTTATTTGACTTAATTTTATTCATCGAATCAAACTGTTTGCTACTTTACATTGATATTGAAAAGTAAAAAAACAAAATACAGAACTCCAAAGAAAATTCAAAACGGAAAATCCCTTATCAAGTGGCAAAATCAAAAGTTCAAACACATCAAACGAATAAAAAACAACTGTCATATTCCTGACGTGGTACGGGCATTTCCTTATGTAGAAAATGGTGGATTTTGAAACCTCTCACTTGTATTACAGTCGCATAAAATTACATTATATTGACACAATGTGTGAACAAAACAAACAAACATAATAGGTAAAAATGTCAAAAATAGAGGTACAGCAGTCAACATTGTGTTATAATCTTAATCACTATAAAAACAAACCAAAAATTCAACAAAGAAAGCAAAATGGCATATAGACAAAGCACATAAGCAAAAACGAAAGACAAGAATACAAAAATTGACTATAAAACAATAACACAATAACAGGATGTAGAAGTACCGAGCCACGCCAAAGGGATATTACCAAAAATGGACTAAACAGTAAAAGTAATAATTGACAAAGACAAATAAAGAACACTATAACACGTAATTAAGATGATAAACAACGTCAGTACATAGAATCTATACTTCAAGACCATTATATAGATATAAGAAGATGTGGTATGAGTGCCAATGAGACAACTCTCCATCCAAGTCAAAATTTATAAAAGTAAACCAATATAGGTCAAAGTACGGTCTTCAACACGGAACCTTGGCTCACACCGAACAGCAAGCTATAAAGGGCCCCAAAAATTACTAGTGTAAAACCATTCAAGCGGGAAAACCAACGGTCTAATCTATATAAAAAACGAGAAACGAGAAACACTTATGAACCACATCAACAAACGACAACTACTGAACATCAGATTCCTGACTTAGGTGCATCATGTATTATTTGTGAAGTTGATACGGAATTTTATCAACAAGGTAAAAACAGTTTTGATACACAATTTCAAGTTTTACAAGTTTTTATAAATCTTTTTGTATCTGAAAGATCTTTTATTTCTTTAATTCCTATAAAACTTAAGTTTAAGCTTCGAATGATTTTCTTGTTCATTGTTTCTACAACATACTTAGTTTATAACTTTATAGCAATGTAACAAAATTATAGTTTTAAGCCCTATAAATCAATTATTTAGACAAATGTTCATGACTCAGAAAACAACGCAATGTTGTTAAAACCTCAAAGTTGACGCATGCAGCTGCGTTACAAAAACATAAGTAAAGATTTGAAATGTTGTATGATGATAAAGGATGTTTATGTATATATAGCTCAACAATGCGTTTCAAAATCATTTGACTGTAAAATTTAGGAGCGTAAGGGAATATCATTTGACTAGTTCAATACAAGTAGAGGATACAAACAAACAGCAGACTATAAAACATTGTTTTTATTCATTTTTACGTTTATCAATCCCATATTATTTTTTTCCAAGACAATAACTGGTTTTAGCGACTTACAATCAAATGCAAATATACCAATACTAACATACCTGAATATTTGCAGTATTGATCAGTGCGTTTCAAACTGTTATGAAATGACAAAGGGATAAACTCATGTTATAGATGTCTACAACAGACAATGGGAAAAAAGAATTGAATAATGTCTCAATATGGAATTAAAGCCAATGTGATTGTTTTGTGCAAAGCAAACATCCTCTTATAAAGTTGAGACATTGGTAATGCCAGCAACAAAAATGATTAGGTTTAATTGTCTTTTTTATTATTCCTTACTTTGGTCAGCTGAACAACAGATATGATAAATAGATGAAAATAGACAAATTGACTATTTTATTCCTCTCAATTCCGAATGATGCATGGTTAATTAATTTGTTCTTGCGCAAATAGAAACAACAGGAATTTATGTAAACAAAAGTCAATGACATGTCAATATATTAACAAGGCATCTTTTTTTCTATAAATGCATAAATATTCTATTCTTTAGCTTGAAGCTGCATTTTATATATTGCTATTGGGTTTTTTTTATATGAAGTATTCAGGAATCCCCCATTTTGTGATCAAATGATCAGAAAAGTTACATATGACAACTTTTAGTAATTCTTAATTTATTTTCGTCTGAAGAAGGAACTGTCTAGATAAAGATCATACTATCTTTAGCTTGTAATTCTAATTATCGCGGATAACAGCTAATGAAAGTTTTGAACTCTGTCTAACATCTCTTGGAAGTAAAGATGTTACGTAAACTCTAATTTACATGCTATTTCCTTCTGCAAAATCAGGAATATAATTGTTAGATTCGTTACTTAGATAGTATTTCTATGATATTGACATGCATGCAGTGATTATGGACATTTTAATTTCCTTGTAATATGTCTATTTCCTATTCCTTTCTACCAATTATTTTGAACTTTTTTTGCTAAATTTATACAAAATACGAAACACTCGATTTGTATAAGATTTAGACAAATATTAATAAATTTTTAATTTTTATTTACTTTTTTGATATCGGATATTTGATTTGTTTTTATTAGAAAATATTTCAAATTTAGAATAACTGTGTATCAAGTCAAGATTTATAAATAGAAAGCTATAATTTAACAAATAAAATAACAACGCCTGTTTGACTCGCGTAATAAAATACATGTATGTAATTAACCATACGTTACTTATGGTTATACTAATGTTAAAACATGCTTTGAATGTGAGTATTACAGGATTTGACATTCAATTAAATTTGAAATTCACAGGATGCCTTTTTTGACACCATTCAAGTGTATGATATCATTTGTCCCTGAAATTTTTGTTCATTTTAACATCCGTTGGAACATACGTTACGTATTTCAATGCGTGTTGATAAACATTTACTGGTAGAAACATCGGGAAACATACGTTGCTTTTTCCTTGTGTAAGACAGTGAATGATATTATTAAATGATTTCGTAAAAATTCGAAAAATTAACAAAGCGATGTTAGCTTTATACTTTAAAAGAATATTAAAAGTAACAATACCAATGAAAAGCTTGGAAAAATATTAAAAGCCCGTTATTGTCTCGCTTGCGACAAAAGTCGCGGAAAGCGAGATATGGGGATTGTTTTTCCGGCGACGGCGTCAACAATTGTTAAGTTTTCTGCTTAAGTTAGTTTGATAGGATCTATTTCTGATAGATCATTGATATTTAATATAAAGTTGCATTACTATCGGTACATATCAGTTTGACGACTATTTCAAGACTCTGCCCCTAGGTTATGGTCCAGTGACTTTGAATTAATAAGCAATTTTCAATGTTAGGTTTTCTGCTTATGTTAGTTTGATAGGATCTACTTGTGATAGATCAATGATATTTTGTATGAAGTTGCATTACTATCTGTACATATCAATTTGACGAGTATTTTTGAAGCCCTGCCCCCTATGACATGGTCCAGTGACATTGAATTAATTAGCAAGATTTGGGAAAAAGTTGTCATTACATACATTTTCTCTCTCGGAATACGGATTAAAACAATTACTGTCTTTTGTTTCGGTTTAATTTACTTTTGATAATCTGATATTCACTTCGGCCGTTGTCCTCGGTGAATATCATTTTTTTCAAAAGTCAATAATACCACATATTTAAAGATAGTAATTAGAAATAAGAAGATGTGGTATGAGTGCCAATGGGACAACTCTCCATCCAAGTCACAATGTGTAAAAAGTAAACAATTATAGGTCAAAGTACGGCCTTCAACACGCAGCCTTGGCTCACACCGAACAGCAAGCTATAATGGGTCCAAAAACGAATAGTGTAAAACAATTCAAACAGGAAAACCACGGTCTAATCTATATCAAAAACGAGAAACCTGAAACACTTAAGAACCACATCAACAAACGACAACCACTGAACAACAGGTTCCTGACTTAGGACAGGTGCAAACAAATGCAGCGGGTTTAAACGTTTTAACAGGCGCCAAACTTCACCCTAACCTGAAATAGTAGTGTAACATTACAACATAGAAAGACACACTATGAAATATCAATTGAAATGACTTAACTCAATCAGAAAGACATATTAACAAAAACAAGTAAACATACACTGAACGAATAAATTTGATCTATGACATAATATAAATACAATATTAAATAAAAAAAGGGGGGATGTAAAACAATGTCAAAAAGACAACTATAACATTGGCGTTAAATAAAATTACGTACACAGGTAAATTTAAATATAAAAAATGTGTTGTTAGGAGTACGGAATTTTTATTTACAAAATAAATAAATTTGTTGTCAGAAGTGAAAATTTATCGTCATACTAAATACGTACATATTAAAAATAGTGAGACGAGATATAACACAAATAAGTAAAAACTGAATAACAAAAATGCATTACAAATTATGTCAACAGGTCAAATTAACAAGAAAGTACGATTTGAGAGTACTCGCAGTTACTAAAAGCTAGTTAAAAGTCAAAAACAATTAATAATAAAAAACCATGCATCAGATACTAAAATCGTATAGTCTTGTTTTGTTATCTGTTGTTGAAGATTATATGTTGAACTGCCTTTTTGGTTATTTGTTTTTGCGTCGTTTGAATGCTTTCTTAATAACGTTTACCCCACACTTCTTTTTATAAATATAGCAGAGAACCAATTATTTTAAAAGTTTTAAAACTGTGATTCCAGCAAAACATTTGAGATTTAATGCTTAATTTAGAAAATCTTTAAACATTAGTCGTGACAATTGTTATTGAAAATGGACAACAAATGAAGGGGAAAAAGCCCGAAAGTATTCGTGTATATTTTTATGTTGGTGTGGTTTATCGAGTACTTAATCAACATGTACTGCTAGCAATATAAAAGTATCTGCATCATTATCTTTATCCATTGAAAATGTACTTTAATTCTATAATGTGTCACAGCACGCTAATTTGCTATTATTTTCTAAATCGGAAATTGCTTATTTGTTTGTAAATTTGATTTCCCTTCGTTAAGCTTTGTATTACTAAAATAAGGAACGCTTTTAATTTTAATGACAATTTTGAAAATGGAAAAAATTACATTTAACAAGCATTTACCAAAAACTAAGATTTGCATTAAATTTTGATCCACTCGTATAATTCTTTTTAACATATCAATATTATCAATCAAAGATGGAAAAACATTGAATTGTCAACAATCTGTAAACCTACCACAATTCAGAAGAGAAGCAAGACTTAGTGTTTATTTCCAATTGCTGTTTTGAGTTTGTCACATTGCTGTGATGACAATAATTTGTGATAGAAGTTTTGATTAATTTTCCGGTTATACAGACCTGGTACAATGTCTTGTATTCTTCACTACAGTAGTAAACATACTTTTCAAGAATTGCATCGTATACCCTTGACTTTTATATAACAAAACAAAATATTTTAAAGATTAACATGAAAATACATTTTGTCTGAATACAGCAATAACAATTCTTCGATATTCTTCAAAAAACGTCTGCAAAGCTGCGTACAGCGACTATTACAGCAATCCTTTGTTTTGCATTGTGTGGTGTGTAATTTTATGTACCTTTACTCTAACTGTGAATATTGGGTATAAAATAAGAAAACATGGTAAGATTGGCAATCGGAAAACTATCAATCAGAGACTTAATGACGTAGATGTGGGCAGCTACGGCCTTCTATCAATTGTTCAAAACCCCTACCGTCCGTAAAAAAAACTTTAAAAGGCCCCGAGAATGACCAAACAAAAAATTCAAACGAAGAAAAACCACAACGGACTAATTGATGTACAAAACAATAAACAAACAATAAATCGTTATGTTAGTGTTAAAATGATGTAACTCTAATTTTTCTAAATGTTGCGATTTTCAATAAATGGTTATTCTCTGACTGTTAATGACGTCTTTACACTAAATCCATTGGATGTTGAATGTATACTGATTGATGTTTTAGTCTGATATACTTGATTTTTTTTATTAGTTGTTATTGGTTTTGAACTAACTATCAATAATTGCAAGTACTCTCAGATCTGTACTTGGTGTCTTTTTTGTTGTTATGGATGTATAAATACCCTGCCACCTCCAGTCTGTGTGTTTGTTAGATGTTTTTCTGTTTGTATCGATCTGATGAGTTAAGCCCTTTTTAACTGATTTTCATAATTTGTTCTTATGATGTGCTGTAAAACCACTTTCCCAGGTTAGGGGAGGTTTGAGCTCTCACAAACATGTTTAACCCCACCCCATTCTTTATGTGCCTGTCCCAAGTCAGGAGTCTGCGGTCCATGTTTGTCATATTTGTTTTTCGTAAATTGTTTTGTTATAAATTAGGCTATTAGTTTTATAAAGTAAATTGTTTCATATTTTTTTATGTCGGGGCCTTTTATAGCCGACCATACGGTATGGGTTTTTCTCCTTGTTGAAGGCCGTACGGTTGCCTACACTTCATTTGAACTTTGGTGTAGTGTGTCTCATTGGCAATCATACCACATCTTCTTATTTTTATATTAGAAGCCCAATGTTATAAATATTGGACTGAGATATAGAAAATTATGTAGGAATAGAATTTATAGACTTAAAGAGCAACTCTTTGTTCAATTTTATTTTGCAAAAGCAAGCACTTTAAATAAATAAAATACTCTCTAGATAGATCACAACAATACAAACACAATTGAAGCTATTTCCTATATTTCTATTTGAGACAGAAGTTGATTTTAGAAATCTGCAATATTCTTTATTTTGTAATGCTTGACTTCCTAAGAATTAATCAAAGGTTGGGTTCAAATCGTGCAAAATCTTCCAGCATAGTATCACTATGATAATTTTGATAATTTTTTAAGCAAAAAATTCTGTAAAATAGCGGAGATACAACACCTTGAAAAAAACGTTTCTCTGAACCTCTAGGAAATCGAAGGTAAATGTGGAGTTAGAACAAAAATACTTCTGACAAAAATTTGTAGAATGAAGAAATCTCGTAACATATTGTTAAAGGGAGATGGGGCATTGCGCCTGTATCTCAAATATACATGTGTAGTTATTTCCATTTTTTATCAAGAGGACATAGAAAGTTATGCGACTCGCATGACGACAATTTAATTGCACAGATCACAGCTTCTTTGTACATTACCATTTTCTCTGCCGCTTTAATTTAAGAATTGAGTGTTTCTTTTTGCAATTTTATTGGGGGTGTAAAAGCGTTGACCGAAGCACATGTTGTATGAAGCAAGGATGAGCAACATATTTGAATTGTGCACACGATCAAAGCTTAAAAACAACCATAGAAAATTATAAAAAGAAGCATTCAATTCTTATAGTTAAATTTTTATGCTACAAACATGACATTAAGAGTTATATCCAGCTTTTCGTCGTTGTTTTTCAATGCATTATTTAAAGATTGTCACGGATATAGCACGTACAGTCATAGCTGTTATATGTCGGATTTGACAATAGGACATTGTAGTCTCTCGGGATTGTTGTCACCCAATCAAGATTGCTAATTCTAATGAAACATACATGTAATGTAATCATTCAATTTTATATATATATTGTACAGATCGCCGCTTCTTTGTACAATCCCTTTTTATCTGTCACTCTTATTAATCATAATGCAAAGATCTCCGCCTCTCTGAAAAATTCCTATTCTCTGTCACTTTTATCACTAATTTTACTCTTATTGTTCAAATCGCCGCCTCTTTGTACATTTCCCTTTTTCTCTATCACTTTTATCAATTATATTTTAAAGATATCAGCCTCTTTGAAAAATATCCTTTTTTTTTCTCAGACACTTTTATCACTTATATTGTACAGATTGCCACTTGTTTGTACAATACACTTTTTTTCTGCCATTTTTACCATTCATATTGTACGGATCAGATCTTCGTATCTTGTGTTATACCTCTATTTGGTTTTAGATATAAAACATGTATCGCTCTTCAGCCATAGCATTGGTAGTATTTTCTTTACTAATTTGCTGATTTAAAAAAAAAAGTATCCTGTAAATAATAATGTCTCATGATATCAACGTTAATTATGAAAGCAATAGAAGATGCTAAAAAGTCGAGACATGGATTTATATTCCGTTTTGGGATGAATACAAACCAAATTTACATCCTGTATAACATAAGATTATTTCCTTTATGCTGTGACGCTAAAAGCGCAAAAATTATCTTTTTGGCAATTTTCTAAAAATAACTATTATTTTTTTTTTTAATTTCAGGTCAAAGTTCATCAACTGCTGCACCAGAAGTAAGTATAAATATTGTGAACTAGAGTTTTTAAATTGATAATGGGGATTGTAACATTGCGTTAAAAAATAAAAAAGGACATGATAAATAAACTACTTTAACTATTTTAATTATTCAAAATTTGAAAACAAACGTTTCCAGTCACTTTTTAAAGATACATGCCGACAATATGAATAAAAGTCCCTCATCAATTATTTGCTGTATAACAAAAGTCTAAAATAAACTTAAATATATTTAAGTAAATTAAAACCATACTAAATATTACAAATATTTACTTTCACGGTACTACAATCTGTCGATACCTATAGTTTGGCATTGCACAAGGTCATGTTTTTTTCTCTGACAGTTAATGACGTCTTTACACTAAACCCATTGGATGTTGGAAATGTAGTTATTGATATTTTAGTCTTAGATACATGATTTTGTCATAAGTTGTTATTAGCTTTGAACTAGTTGTCAGTAACTGCGAGTACTCTCAGATCTGTACTTACTGTCTTTTTTTCCACGTCCACTCTGTGCGTTTGTTAGATATATTTCTATTTGCATCTATCTGATGAGTTAAGCCTTTTTCATTTGACTTTTACAGTTTGTTCTTATGTTGTACTGTTACACCACTGTCCTAGGTTAGGGGAGGGTTGAGCGCTCACAAACATGTTTAACCCCGCCACATTCTTTATGTGCCTGTCCCAAATCAGGAGCCTGTAGTTCAGTGGTTGTCGTTAGTTCATGTCTGTCATATTTGTTTTTCGTAAATTGTTTTGTTATAAATTAAACCGTTAGTTTTCTCAATTGAATTGTTTCATATTTTTCATGTCCGGGCCTTTTATAGCCGACCATACGGTATGGGTTTTTCTCCTTGTTGAAGGCCGTACGGTTGCCTATAATTACTTACATTGGCAATCATACCACATTTCCTTATTTTTATATTACTTAATCTATACATGTTTAATACATTTAATATCTCGTATGATTTGTGAAAATAAAAAATTATAAATTATAAAGTAAGAAACTGAAATAAAAAATAAACAAATGAATAAACTTTCCTGACAACAACGAAAAATTATTTAAGTAAGATTTAAAGCGTTTTGACTCCATTCAATTCGTCAGAAAGTTTGGGAATATTCTGTTTATCGTACTAAATATCTTTCATTTCAGTATTTCATCGCCCTTTAGCTGTACATTATACAACTTGAAGTTTAATCCCATCACATTGTGAGACTGTAATGTGTTACTCATTGTAATTTTTTTTCTGTGTACGTCTCTGAAGAGTCGTCTCTTGGTGGTTGAGGTTGCCTGTTGTATTGTCAATATTCTGTTGATTCATCTTATCCTTTTCGTTTATTACATCTTCTCTGTATGGGGACCATACGGCAGTCTTAAGAGTCAAAGTTCTCTGATCACTTGATGGCCCTAATTTTACAGTTCTTTAATGTTCAAATCTTTCAAAAAAATTATTTAGGAGCAAATTCTATGGTCTTTGAACATCTTTAAAATTTTGTTAATTCCACATGTATTAGAGTTATATAATATAATATATACTATTAAAAAATCAATTTTAGCTTGCCTACGGATTAGTATGTCATCCCTTTAAAACCCATACGGGACGGGATGTCTTTCAATAATAGATTTCATTGCTTTATGGACTGAATATTCAAAGTATAATAAATTAGTTTATTATTTATAAACATTCACTAAGAAAATAGTCAAATATGAATTATTAGGTGTACCTACCATCAGTTGCTAGGATTATTAAACAACAGTTTAAATATTTCAGTAGTGTAGTTTAGTTATGCACAACAGTAGGAATCAATTAATTAAAAACAGCTGACACGCGAACTTCGTATATTTTATAATGTCGATTGGTTTCCTATGTCATATAGAAAGTTATAATTGATTACCTTTGCAATGCATATTTAATTTTTTTTTTTAAATGCTAGGTATGAAAAGTGTGTTATCGTTTTAAGGCATGTCCGTATTTTGAGGTTTTTTCCAGTTGTTAATGTTAGTTCTCACGCTCCATGACTCGTTTTATTTCACAACGAAATTACATTTCTTGCATGGATATTTTGAAATGTCATAATTATTGGAATTATATCTCTTCAACTGTTTTTAATCTTAAAGTTGAACAACCTTGCCTTTTATATATTCAGCTTTGAACGTTCCTGATGAAAGTAAATCCAGAAAAGAGCTTCGGTCGCATGAAATTTATTAAGGTTGTTTTAATTTTTTTACAGCATTGGGTCGATACCGCTGCTGGTGGAGTATCAGTCCCCTAGGGTTTCCTCAGCTTAGTAGTCACTACTGACATAATTTATAGCAAGCCTTTCCTAAATTGTCCGTGTATAAAATAAGACATTATTAAAAACTAAAGTTTAAACTCATTCAGGAAAGTTGACCTAAGTCAGGAATCTGATGTTCATTGGTTGTCGTTTGTTGATGTGGTTCGTAAGTGGTTCATAGTGTTTCTCGTTTCTCGTTTTTTATATAGATTAGACCGTTGGTTTTCCCGTTTGAATGGTTTTACACTAGTCATTTTTGGGGCCCTTTATAGCTTGCTGTTGGGTGTGAGCCAAAGCTCCGTGTTGAAGGCCGTACTTTGACCTATAATGGTTTACTTTTACAAATTGTGACTTGGATGGAGAGTTGTCTCATTGGCACTCATACCACATCTACTTATATCTACTTAGATTGATTTTGCTATTATTTTTATTTCCCGTTTGGTCATATAGCTCTTCAACTGTTTCTGATCTGATACACCTTTGGTTTTCAAATATTCGGCTTTGAACGTTTCTGATGAAGGTAAATACAGAAAAGCGTTTCGGACGCATGAAATTTATTAAGTATTGTTTGAATTTTTTTAATTACTTTTTTTTATTAAGAAATATACAATGTTTTAGAAATCCAAAAAATAAAAATGTTTTTGAATCACAATAATGAACTTGCTACAAACACATAACATAAACATTGAACTGTTTTTTGCACATGCAGTCACTTGCACTAAGAGTGAAGTTAAATATGCAAAAAAGAATTACAACCACAATAAGTTTTTTTAGACAACGTTCTTAAAATAATGTTTGTGTAGCAGTATCTCGAGATAAATTAACAGAATATCATTAAATAATTGATTGATTGATTGATTGTTGGATGCTTAACGTCCAGTGGCCATTAAGATGAAACCACGAATGTATTTTCTAACATTACAACAATTGTGCGATTTGGTTGTACACAGTTGCTGGCAGATTTTTTATCATTTGTGTAATATATTCACAAATTTCAAAGATTCGAGAAATTTGTAGTTTGACATGTTGTAACGATACCTTTCTATGGCTGAAGACTGTTTTAACGATACCTTTCTATTGTTGAAGACTGTTGTAACGATACCTTTCTATTGTTGAAGACTTTTGTAACGATACCTTTCTATTGTTGAAGACATTAAAACTGTAAATATGATACTTGTTTTAACCAACTATTTTTGTCAAAGTCCTTTGTGTCACGTTTTTCTTTTTTTCAACTTGAAAAAATCTGTTTTTCAATTATGAATATGCTTTAAGTAATAAGATCATAATAAACCAAATATAGTGATTAAAGATCAACCCGTTTTAAATCAAAACAACATCATATTTTCATTGACTTTTAAAGTTGTCAATTGACATTTGTTCCAATGTAGACCTACGCCATTGTGTATACACATTGAGAACACATCTAGTCGATTTGACTTCCGATAAAGATGGTGATTTCTGTAATTAGATATTGATTTAACCATCAATATGTCTTTTCTTTTTGTATTGGTTAAGATTGAACAGTACTCTAAAAACGATGTGGAAGTCTAGATTAGAGGAAATGACTTAAACCCCCCAATGTTGGCTATCTATGTGTGAGATCAGGGAAAACATCAACTTAAACAATAATTACTGCTTGATCAATAACAAAAAATAGCATTAACTAGTCTCCAGCGTGTAGTAAATATGTTTTCTAATTAACTATTGAACCAAGCTGAAAGAAGTGTCAAACAAATTCCAACGTTTATTCTGCAATTATATCATTATACTTATTGGCCTTTGTATTGAAGAAATCTGGTGGAAAAATAATTTAATTAGTACACAGCAGTTAATAGTGTCAAAGATTGACCACAAGACCAAAAATATGTGACAAAGTAAGAAAGAAATCATGACGAAGTATAAACAACTCTACGTTATGTTTAAAGAACAGGAAACTGTCCGGACGTTTGTGATCAATACAACTCAATTTCTGGCTGATATATGCATTATAAATGCGTCCCGGAAATTAAACTGGCTTTTACAAATAACTTTGTTTCTATTATAAATTATAATGAAACTCTTTCACGAAGACAACAACACAAGAACAAACGTTAAGAGTGTGTGACCATTTGGTCGTTGATATAGTGTTTCATAGTTCACGATGCCTATTATTACGCAATAGATGATTTAAAGCAAAGTTCTATTTATACTTGTAACATCAATGTTTCTGCACTTGGCTTGAGTTCTAAATAAGAACTACATTTCGTAAGGGAATATGATTTGATTAGACAAAGCCTCAACAGCTGCCACTCCTAGCACTAAATGTAATTTAGACGTTTCGATTTTTATTTTGAATTTGCATACTCGAAGTTTATATACTTCTTCATTATACTACATTTAAAGAAAATGCGAAACTTGACCAGAAATGGTATTATTGTAAATTTAGTTATGATAAGGCCTGGTGATATGGTTAAATTCTATATTGAAGTAACATCCTTGTTTGAACTTCTAAGTACATCTTGATGATGACCACTTGAATAATACATATTCAATATAATAGTTGAAACGTTCATTTAATTACATTTTGAATTACACATTGAAGCGACAAATATATTAGAAATATGATTATCTATTTACACGACATAATGAGCTGACAAATACAACGAAGATAATATAAATAGTATTTGGATGGTTTCCAGTCATATACGAACTAGCTTAACCCTGGTCTCAGTTCACTGTCTATAGGAAGACCTCTTAGTTTAAGTTAGAAACATTTTAATCTACACAGACAGTGGTGGCGTTGACATTGGTGTTATTGTCCTTTTTTGGCGGGAGGGGGTGTTAAGAGGAGAATAAAGATGCCAAAGCATGGTTGTTGATGTTGAATTTGTTTACAACATGACTGAATTTTGTGCTATTATGGAGTCGGGCATATTTTTTTTACTATTGTAAATCGAATCAAGACCAGGAACTATTTAAACAAATCTACCATACTTCCATATGCGTCTATATCGCCCTTCTTGGTCGCTCCAAAATTCTCGTAAACTCTGTTTTGAGACATATTTCATACAAATATTTACATCACTGAATTAAACTGCTTTATGTAATGAAAAGGTTGATATGATAAATACATCAACAACCATTCACAAATCAATCATGAAAGAGAACCTTCTGGTTGACATGATAAATACATCAACAACCATTCACAGATCAGTAAAGAAGACCTTCTGGTTGACATGATAAATACATCAACAACCATTCACAAATCACTAAAGAAGACCTTCTGGTTGACATGATAAATACATCAACAACCATTCACAAATCACTAAAGAAGACCTTCTGGTTGACATGATAAATACATCAACAACCATTCACAAATCACTAAAGAAGACCTTCTGGTTGACATGATAAATACATCAACAACCATTCACAAATCACTAAAGAAGACCTTCTGGTTGACATGATAAATACATCAACAACCATTCACAGATCACTAAAGAAGACCTTCTGGTTGAAATAATAAATACATCAACAACCATTCACAAATCACTAAAGAAGACCTTCAGGTTGACATAAGGTCAGTGTGTCTATCCATTTTCACTGTAACAGAAATTTTAGCAATGAGAGAGAGAGAGAGAGAGAGAGAGAGAGAGAGAGAGATTGTTTCGAGTTAAATTGTGCATACAGGATGATGTTTAATACTGTTAAAATTACATTCCCATCGTTTCCGAAGGTTTTCGAATTGTTGTCGTCTATACTTACCGTTAGCATAATATAGAGATAGTTGTTACTATAAATTTCCAGCTTTTTACATTACAGAAGCCTAATATGCACATCTATCTAAGAATACTGAATTGATTGTATTATTGACCCTTTCTATACCTTTCTATGATAACGTACATGTGATAGTTTAACACACACGTGTTGAGATAAACCTTAAATGAAACCGTTACACTATATAAGATTTACCTAAAGTATATCCCTTACATTATTTATGATTTACCAATTTTGTTCATAAAACTGTATTTAGTATCTTAGAATTTCAGTTTGAATTCGATTATGTGATTTCCTTGTTCATACACCAGGAAGTTAAGCTTCTTTTTCTGCCTTTTTAAACACGTGTTTTGAATTAGAATGATACTCAGTTTTCCTTTAACAATCTGAAAATCACAAGTTTATGAATCTGAGTGCGCTTTTATTGATAAAGGCTTGGTTGTACAATGTCAACAACCTGGTTACACGTAAACACTAATTATTGACTATTGAATTTAGCATCTTCTTTCAATGATTCCACAAATTAAGACGACTCATTAACTCTCAGACATAATGGGGATTTCTTGTATTGGTTATATGATAAAATCATCAATTTCGTGACAAATTTTAATGAAATAAAAACAAAACAATGACTTTGGTACTAAAATAACATAGTTGCCTCACGATCTAACATTGAACATAGATTTATCATGTTCGTTTTCTAAGGACAAAATAAGAATCGACAAGTTCTTAACTGAGTACAACTGACAATTAAGAAAAACTTTAAATCATAATGTCTCATCTTTCTTTCGAATTTTGTTGGGTACGGATGCTCAGTCTTTACTTTCTATGTTATGTTTTGTATACAGTTGTTTGTCTTTAGGTCGTTTTTGGTATTTCGCCATGGCAATGTACGTCATATTGTTTTCGACTAATGAGTTTGAAAGTTCCCTTTGATATCTTTTGCCTCTCTTTGTTTTAATCGGATAACGAGTGATTCATGCCTAACAGGAGTTATTTTTTTCTGTTGACACTGTTTCCAACCCCATTGACAGTTCCTGTGACTGCAGCTGTTTTCATTCTTGTGCTGCATTTTTTATTTATCTGAATTATGGATGATATTAAAAGATAAAATATTCCGTCTATTTTTATCAGTTGTAATGTTTTAAGGCTATATGTTTCGATTCCTAACATCACTGACGAGACATTAATTGTCGAAATCCGGATATGGTGTACAAATTTGTGCACCTCATGTTTGCGGTATACCATCTTTTCCGCAAGTTGATTGTTTTCTGTTTGGTATTAAATTAATAATAAATACCCATTTTGTTACATCTTGTGATCCGTTTATTTGGCAATCGCCAATGGCAGTCAGCAGGGTTTAAGAACATCCGTTGTTCGACCTGTTAGTCAAACGCGTTTTATCTAAATATACTTTATTTTACCATTTATTTTTATTTCAGGAAGAAGAAGACTTTTTTGGTAGTGACAAGTTTGTAGGATTGATGATCGGTTTAGGATCATTTGCTGGACTCCTTGTTTTGTGCTGTATCCTATGGAAATGTTGTTGTGGAGGAAAGGATGACTAGTTAAAAAAACATCCAGAATTAAACAAAATGAAAGGAGTTGTGATATTAGCGATTTAATTCCTTCCATAAAAAAATGTATGGATACGTGGTTGTGCACATGTCATTAACAATTATTTGACATTGTTTAAACACATGGAATATACAAATTTATATATATGTATGTGTGTGCTGCTTCGTTGGAGAAAATGGATATGTGTGTTTTGACGTATTATCATTTATTTTATCAGCAGCATAACTGCTGGCATGTTGTCTGCTGAAGAACCGTTTTACATGTTATATATACAATGTAATATACAAACTTCTTATGTCTCAAACCTTCAGGATTCGCCGTTTTAGAACCTAAAGAATTTTGTGAAATTTCGTTGTCCTTAAATTAAAAATTGAAAAATCCTGACATTTTAGTTCGAACATTCATTCTTTAAGAATTTATCTGCTAATCATAATGTGTGTGTCTATTTCCGAAAATGCATTAGATTCTGAAACGGGAATGAAGGTAAACGAACCCTATAAGTTTTCTTGTTTTGATCTAGATGTTTCCTAAATGTTGATAAATAATATGATTAATTATGTTCACATGTTGACATTATCCAAAAAACTACATAACTCCGATCTTAATTAAATCCTTCAAGTGACCACGATAATTCGTATGGGATAGATATTTTGAATAAATCAGAAAAGTTTTGTTTCTTTCTTTTCACGGAAAAATATTTTGTTTAATATGATGTATGCATGTATGTATAATGGTTGAACAATACTTTGATGCTTTAGTAACATATAAACAAAAGCATAATTTGTATTTTGCGTATACAAAAATTTGATAACATAAGACACCATATTCGAGGGTCTGGATGGGAGTGGGGTCCTTCAATTCTGTATCCTTTAATTTTGTAGGACATTTTTCTCGTTTCTTTGTTCTTTTTGCCCTTTACTCTCGATTCTTTATATTTTACATCTCATTATTCTCTATTCTTTATTTGTTTGGTCTATTTTTCTCTATTCTTTATTTGTTTGGTCTATTTTTCTCTATTCTTTATATTTTTTGCCCATTATTCTCTATTCTGTAAACCCCATCCACACCCTCATATTCAAGTAGGAAGTATTTCTGTATGGTTGTTCTGCTTATTTTTACCTGAACACAAGAACACACAGACAAGTTATTCTCATCATAAACTATTGTACTACTAAATGCTTACCGTGACAGAAAATGTTTGTTTTTGTGTTTAACGATTGGTCATTGTTATCTCCGTCCAATACTTTCACGAGGCACCTTACAATATTAATCTTATTTACTGAACAAATTGCTTTTATTTTTTATACTTGTATGTAAATGTGCTATTACAATAAATGAAGTCTATAATTTTCTTATTTTTATTTTAGATAGGTTTCAATTAATATTTCATAACCAAGAGCAACGCTCCGTTCCCTTTGCAATTTTTTCTCGGTATTTTGTTATCATCTATATAGCGGGTTGTGGGTTGTCGACTGAAATTCCGGTATTGCCATACACTATCTTACGAAGATAGCCTGGCGGGATTGGATGGCGGCAGTAACATTCTATATGGTGCTGAAGATTGATGCATCAAATGTTAAAAAGAAACAATTTTTACAAACTGAACTTTCTTATACTTTTATTGATAAGAGATACATGTATACCTATAGATGTGTTAAAATTGAACAAATGTTATCCCTCTTGAAAAGGGAGAGAGTCTGATGAAAATGATGCATGGGAAGAATATAGAATAACAGATAAAAGAGTATAATATCATAATAGTAGAAACATATTATATCAAAGTTAGTAATTTGCAGGTAAGTACTCAAACAATGGCTTGTGCTTATTCTCCTTATTTACAACAAATTAGTGCGAGAAATGAAAGCACAGCTCTGATTGATGATTAAATTTCTGTAATGAATACGCCTTCTTTGAAAATCTGCGACTCACATCTTAATAATCGAATAGAATTACTCAGCTTGCATATCCTGTTTTACACATTTATAAATAGAACAAAAAACATTGGTGTCTGTGTTTGTTTACAGTATTGATGATTTTAGTAAAGTTCATTAACTGATCATGAATGTACAATAAAATTATTTCCCATTAACATATTTTGTATCAAATTGCAATGTATCATCAATTGTTTACATCAATAATTATTCATAGTTTGTCGTATAGAATCAAAAGTTCTTCGTCGATTCGTAATTTCGTTGCAATTTTTCATGAATGGAGAAACAGACATACGTGATAATTGATGGTAATTATTAATGAAATAGATTTATTAAGATAATTTCATAAAATCCCGAATCCCCTCCACTACGGTTATGAAACAATATATCTGATTCTAAAACATTTCTTCAATAGTTGTGTATAAAGTACAGTTCACCAAACAGCCTCCAACAAATATTCTACAATCTTTTTTGGGTTCCAAAATTCGCTTTAAGAAAAACGTGCGACTTCAATAATCCGGTATGTTCAATATGCAAAATTAAGTCAGATGTTGATTTTTTCTAAAGAGAAAGAAGTATGGTAAGCATGAATAGTAGTTATATGAGGATCCATCATGATTTGGTAAAAAATAAATCAACAAAAAGAGTGTTGCGTTTTTAAAGTCAGTCAGTATATTAAAAATAAATTCAATGTTAGTACCGATAAAGACCATGTTCAAATGCCTTACTACAATGCTTAATTGATAACTTTTAGAAATGAGTTTGTTCAAAGGAACAATTAATGTCTATATGGGTGTATTCAAATTTACTACCTCTAAAAAAAACATCACCGTAACAATTAAGATATGATATTCCAGTTGTAATAAGATAGATAGTGGTACAGCCAAATTTCCACAGATAATCTTTAGAATTATAAAAAAATTATATTTAAATGTTTTATTACCTTGTGGTAACCCTGAATTAATATTTTTTTCAATTGAACTAGCTGTCAGTAACTGCGATTACTCTCAGATCTGTACTTAATGTCTTTTGTTTTTGGGATGTATAAGTACTCGTCCACGTCCACTTTGTGTTTTTGTTAGATGTATTTCTATTCAGATGAGTTAAGCCTTTTTCAACTGATTTTTATTGTTTGTTCATATGTTGTACTATTACACCACTGTCACAGGTCAGGGGAGAGTTGAGCGCTCACAAACATGTTTAACCCCGCCACATTCTTTATGTGCCTGTCCCAAGTCAGGAGCCTGTAGTTCAGTGCACTACAAACCAGTAAAAGTCTGAAATGGCCTATATCTGTACTCGACTGTACTGATTTTTACTCGACCAGTCTGAATTGGTCTGAATTTTACTCGACATTACTCGACCACAGTCTTAACCATACTCGACTGTACTGATTTGTACTTGACCCTTATCTTTGCCATTGAAAATAGTCTGAACTATTACTCGACCAGTCTGAAACAGTCTTAACCCATTCTCGATCTGTACTCGACCTATTTTTTTCAGTCTAAACCATACTCGACCAAAGGTCTGAACAATACTCGACCAGTCTGAACCATACTTGACCAAATAACCTCTACTTTTTCTAAATTTTAACTGTTAAAATAAATTTCTTTTTAACTGACATGACAACAGCCACAATAAAATAAAGATATATTATAAAAACAGATTTTTACATTCTTACATGATTCTCAGATTTATCGAATAGAGATAGTTAAATCAAATTATCTTATATAATAATTTAATTATATTAATTTTAAAGTTTTAGAGTTTTGTTAAACAAAGATTTTCTTTTACCTAAAAACCACACCTATACTGATGGTAATTAAACCTTATTAAGGTGCTTCTTATTTGGCATGTGTTTTTTTTTAAATTAATTTTCCTAAATTCCTAAATAAAAACTACATAGGTTTCATGGTTACATACAAAAAATGTACAATAGTTATATAATTATCTTTTTAATGAGGTATCAACAGCCAACAAAATCACTGAAATTGTTTAACCTTATATTAGAAATATATTTTTTATTATAATTTGGGATATATTATATACAATATATATCAAAAAGGGATAAAAATTAAAGAAATTAATAAAATTGTTCTTCTGATTAGTGGTGAAGTATAAAGTAATACCTCCTGCTAGGGGCAAACTCATGAAAAAGATCACACCTGGTCAGAGAGTATTAAATTCTAAATAACACTCATTCAAAATTGCAACATCCTGTGAAACTTAAATCGCAAGGCCTTTTGAATTCACTAGATAAGTAATACACGAGTTTATAAGAAAAATAGGGCTTTCTTTTTACCTGTAAAACACACATGTACTGAGGTAATTAAACCTTATTAAAGTGCTTCTTGTATGCCATGTCTTTAATTTTGACAAAAATTATTTAAATTTAATTGAAATAAATTTTTACTGTAACTTTGGAACAGTCATTTCCTTTTTTAAAAGTTTATCACAGGATTACTGTGGAAGTTCTATTATCATGATTATATTAAATTCTTGGTTTAACAAAACAAAGGTGTCATATTTAAAATTTATTAAGTTGCTTTATATGCTATTTTATATATATTTTAATAAAAAAATGTTCACTGCATTATTAACTAAACTCAACTGACACCAGAAATCTATACGAGGCTTAAGTAAATGGTGAAAATTGTCCAGTAACCATAAAATATATCTGAAACATTCAAAAACATTTTGAATAACATTGAAAATATTAGTCATAATTAAGTTTTGAGATTATTTGATCAGCTTGTTTTATTTTTATTTTAAATGTAATATATATGTATGTATATAAGTGTTGATGAATATGGTGATGAAGTTATAATTTATGACAAAAATCAGCAAAGACCCATCGAAACAACATCTGATACACAAATTTAATAATACTTTTAGATATTTGGATGATATTTTGGCTCTCAATAATGACGACTTCAGTATGTATACTAAAGAAATTTATCCTGTTGAACTTACTTTAAATAAAGCTAATTCTAACAATGACCACTGCCCTTTCCTCGATCTTGATATCTATATCATTAACGGAAAGCTTAATACTAAAATATATGATAAAAGAGATGATTTTTCATTTCCTATCGTTAATTATCCATTTTTAGATGGTGACGTTCCCTTGTCACCATCTTACGGTGTTTATATATCTCAACTTGTACGATTCGCTCGTGTATGTAACAATGTTTTAGATTTTAACGAGAGAAATTTATGTATTACTGAAAAATTATTACACCAGGGTTTTCGATATCACAAACTAGGCAAAACATTTACTAAATTTTATCATCGGTATAAGGACATCATTCGTAAATATAGCTCAACATGCAGTCTTCTTATACGTTCAGGTATTTCACATCCAATTTTTTATGGAAATATTCTTTATAAAGCACAAAAATGTCAGTATTCACCTCTGAAGCTAACAAAAACTTTAAATAGACTTATTAAGAAGGGATATAGTTACGATACTGTTGTCAGGTCATTAAAGATTGCATATTTTGGCGTTAATATTGATTCACTTATAGGGTCTTTGCATCGGCACTAAACACATTTATTTAAAAACCAGTTGTTGGCATGACACGGGTTATGTTCTTCTCATATATGTTATGATGGTATGATACTAAACCCCTAACGGGAAGGATTGTGCCTGATATTCATATGATGAAGACATAATCCTTCAATCAGTTTAATTGAAGTCTGGAGCTGGCATGTCAGTTAACTGCTAGTAGTCTGTTGTTATTTATGTATTATTGTCATTTTGTTTATTTTCTTTGGTTACATCTTCTGACATCAGACTCGGACTTCTCTTGAACTGAATTTTAATGTGCGTATTGTTATGCGTTTACTTTTTTACATTGGCTAGAAGTATAGGGGGAGGGTTGAGATCTCATAAACATGTTTAACACCGCCGCATTTTTGCGCCTGTCCCAAGTCAGGAGCCTCTAGCCTTTGTTAGTCTTGTATTATTTTTAATTTTAGTTTCTTGTGTACAATTTGGAGTTTAGTATGGCGTTCATTATCACTGAACTAGTATATATATTTGTTTAGGGGCCAGCTGAAGGACGCCTCCGGGTGCGGGAATTTCTCGCTGCATTGAAGACCGGTTGGTGACCTTCTGCTGTTGTCTGTTCTATGGTCGGGTTGTTGTCTCTTTGACACATTCCCCATTTCCATTCTCAATTTTATATTATGTTTATTGTGAAATTTTGGTTTCAATGCTATATTGAATACATTTTTAATTTCAAATTGTTGTTCTGATTTCTAGCCAGGGGAAATAGCTGTTGTTAAAAACAGTTCCTAAATTGATGAAATACAATAGATAGATACAACAAATAGGTCTAGGTTGGTTAAGACTTGGTCGAGTATGGTTCAGACTAGGTCGAGTATGGTTCAGACTAGGTCGAGCATGGTTCAGACT